AACCAGCTTGGAATAATCATGCCAGGTCCTGAGGGAGTGACATGTACAGGGGATAATGTCTGCCCGAATGCAGTGATGCTGTGCACTCGGAAATTATTCACAACCTTGCCACCCAGGGGGAATTCCCTCGGCAAGAGACACGGATGTAGCATGCGTGGGTGAGCACCGGGGATGGGAGCAGGTGGCTAAGTAATGTTAGGTAGGTGTCTGCGATTGTGCATCTAAACAGGGAGTGGATTTACCCATGCATGCCTTGAACTGCTGTAGAAACAGGCAGTGGATTCACCTATGCATGTCTTGAGCTGCTGTAGAAACAGGCAGTGGATTCATCCATGCATGTCTTGAGCTGCTGTAGAAGTCTAGCACATCCACAGTCTGCGCTGTGTCACAGTCAATCTAGGTGGCATGTGGTAACCAGACGTTGGCCAAAAGATATCTCAGTCTTCGCCCACGGTCATTGCAGGAAAGAAGAGACTAGGGTGTGACTTCCACCCATACAGGTGCACAACACAAGTGTGCCATGTGTGCATACATATTATGCATCCCAGTGTGCCTTGTATACATACATATTACATACCCAATGCTGTACATATTACATACCCAATGCTGTACATATTACATACCCAATGCTGTACATATTACATATTCATCCCCTAGTAGACCTGCATGCTGTAGTGCAGAGTACAGTGTACATGCCAGCACTCCGAGCATTGTCTGGGCATGGCTGTGATGTCATCATGATGTCATGATATCTGTTTCTACCTGTGCGCAGAGGACATTCCCCTGGATTCCCCATCCCGGCACAAAACGCAAACAATTCGCGGTTGCTACCGTCATCTGGTGTGCAGATGAAGGTCAAACTGACGGCTGGTGAATCAGTGACACCATTGTGAGTGGTACCTGATGGATGGTAACTGCTGATCGCCAAACAAACTCACTGGTACAAAAGTCGCAACCAGCTGCATCCTGAGCACTTCTAGCTTGTGATCCTTGTAGCAAGACTGAACTCGAGCAGAGTCCAAGCTAAGGAAATTTCTTACTGAGGTTTCCCAATCTACAAATACATGCAGTACTAGTAAAGAGACTGGCATGGAAAAGGGCAAGGAAGATCGCACGCCCGCCTTTCTCAGGGAGATCCGAGCCAACTACCTGGAGAAGCTGCACCAGGCGTTCTGCACTCCAGCCGTGAAGGGAGGGTTGCGCAAGCGCAAGCGTGGCCACAGAAGGCAGCGGTGCGTCAATCCGCATGACGGAGGACAAGATGAGCGAGGAGGAGGCAGCAGGCAGGGTGACCATAACACAATAGTAGTAAGTCGGTGAATATGATCGATGTGCATAATACAGTACTACATATTCCAATTCCAGTGAACGTGAACAGGGAACGGCAAACCTTGGACAGTAGAGTAAGGGACATATGGCAACTGGTTCATGGCATACATGCATGTTGCTATCTGGTAATAGATACCCCATGGAATATTGGTGGAAAGAGGACTTGAAGCAAAGTGATCGTTTGAGAGAGGGATACAATGTGAAAGAGAGAGAGAGAGAGAGAGAGAGAGAGAGAGAGAGAGAGAGAGAGAGAGAGAGAGAGAGAGAGAGAGAGAGAGAGAGAGAGAGAGAGAAAGAGAGAGAGAGAAAGAGAGAGAGAGAAAGAGAGAGAGAAAGAGAGAGAGAGAAAAAGAGGGAAGGAGAGAGAGGATTATGAGAGAGAATTACGCAAAGCCTTGAAACGGTCGCCCTACCAGTTTGCTAAACGGCTTGTCAAATCACTCCTGGCACACACGTGTGCCATAAAGACGAGCAATCAGTGTAGTGAAACGTTCTCTTTTCTACGATTCAGCCTCATACACTAGGTCGGGTGGAGCTCGGCAAACGCCAAACATGTTCCATAAAAAGGGGCTAGCATGAAGCCATTATTGTGTGGAATCCCACATGTCCTCTCCATCACACATACATCAAGTTTGCTGTGAGCAAGATGTGGCTCACACTGTCTCTAATGTTAGCGGTCAACGAACAGCATCCCGGTCACTAAACCCTACATTTATATGTACATGTACTTTTGGCAAAGACTCATTGTATCCATTCCTTGCTGCCTTGTATCCACCACTATTCGTTCAGCTGCTCACTGGCCTCTCTGGAGTCGGAAAGTCCAGTATAGTCGACTGCTATGCCAGGACAGCACAGGAACGCGGCTACTACCAGCGTGGAGTGTGGAGGATCAACGCCTTGAGTGACGCCACCGTCGAGCTGTCCATCCGCAATATTCTAGTGAGTGTTGCTTGTCACCATGCTCTACTGTGAGATGGGTATCATCAAGTGTACATACAGGCCCACTGTCACTTGCTCCCCATAGTCAATACTGCTTTGCAAACGTTAGCCATGCATGACGTCACCTACCCACCCACCTCACAGCTGTAAGCAGGGCCGGAGGCTGCTTCTGCAGAGCGGTGCGGCCGAAGGGCCATCTTTAAGGGGGGTCTGGGGTTCCTCCCCCCGAATTTTTTTGAATTTAGACGGCAAATCCTGCACTCTGAGCGACTCTCTGTACAAAATCATACATCGAAACTTTTTCTCCCCGGTTTCGGACGTTCCACGGCCACGTGGACTGACTTTTTGGGATTTTTTTTTTTTTGGTACGGCCATGGCCGTACCGGCCGTACCAGTGGCGCCGGCCCTGGTACAAGGAGTGCACATTGACATCTTATGTTGTGCCTTGTCCACTTTTTCCGTATGGCAGGTGTCCGCGAAGGCACCATTCAGCTGCCTGTCCCAGCGGTCTGATCCCGCCAGTCCTAGCTTCTGGCAGAGGATAATGATGGCCCTGCACCCGACATCGGATATGCTGTTCATCGTGGACAACCTCGGCAATCGCACCCTGCAGAGTATGAGTGATGAGGAGGCAGTTAGCAGTGAGTCAGGTTAGTAACGTTAGAAACGTTTCATCTTCTGCTGCTACAGGTATATGCTGGTCATCACCATAGACCGGGTGATAGGCAGCAGCGGATCCAGCCATCTCTACAGGGGTTTACAAAACTGGCCAGATGATACATGCACATGGACACACATATGGTTGCCAGAAGTACATTTACGAAATGTTGGGGGTTCCGCAGAACCTCTGGTACCCTCCTGGATCCGCTCCTGATAGGCACTACTGCTGTGGATATTGAAATGCGTTGAGAAGTCAAGCGGCCATGGGGGCGCTGGCCGTGCAGCCGCCAGCACTGCTGCTCCGTTTTGAGAGCCGGTGTGTACGTGAGCTACAGTGCTCCCACACGCTGAGGCAGTAAGGGTGCCGGCCCCCAGTCATTCCACCGGCTTTCAAAAAGTCCATTATTTGATACGGTAGTAAATTTCCTTGCAAAGACTGCACCTCAGAAGTAAGATGTAAAAGATACAAAATGATAACATGCAGACTGGTGTTTGCACGGACTAGGCTACATAACAGCACCTGTTCCAGCCCCAACACGAATTGCATTTAAGCTATAACTTTGCCAACTGCGACGCGTGGTTTTATATAATATTTCAAGCGGCCACTAGCGCAAAACAAATTCGCTCTCCGTCCTACTGTGTGTGTTGCAGATGCGGCTGACCCGCTGTCAGTGATGTGGAAGTTCTTGTTGCCCAACTCCAACTACCAACACCGGCTATTGATCATCAGCCAGAATGGCATCTTACAAGACTGCGTGTCACGGCACATTGCCCAGCGTCTCGAAGTTCATCCGCTGACATCGCTGCAATCGTCCTGGCTGCTGGCCAGACAGACAGGAATCCTGTGCACGCATTGCCCAATGCCAGTAAGACAAGCGCAGCTCTGGAAACAGCTGCAGCGGGCGTGCAGAGCGTGTCAACGCGAAAACTCGCACTGCTGCCAGCACTGTCTGCTGCGGCAGCTGAGAGCCTGCCAGCAAGCAGTGCCCACCGTCCAGCCCAAACACTGCTGTACACACGGACAGGAAACACATGATGCAAGCACGCTCAGCGCCTGCACTGTGCGGCAGTTTGTAACGTTGAGTGATGCTGCAGACATGGCAAACGGGCTTCCCCTGGTGCTGGAATGGATTTCAAAACAAGCAGAGGGAGATGCTTCCCAGCTAGCAGCTGGCACACTTGATGCTGGACAAGACTCTGCAGCTGCTAGACCTGAGGAGCATGAGGTGGCCAACACCATGGATAGTGTATGGAGTAAGACGTACAGTCTGATCTCAACGGCCGCTAAACAGCTCCTATGCACAGCCGCACTTCTTAACCCGCACAGGATCTCCTGCGCAATATTCCTGGCTGCTCAGCATTCTCCGTACGTTCCCGCTGAGCTACGCGACCTCCTGTTCCCGTTTGATGTGGCGGCTGCACCGAACACGAGCACAGAGATAATGAACCGCAGGGCAGTGCAATCACTGGTATCACTGCTGTGTGAGCTACGCCACTTCTCATTGGTTATGTTTGTGGCCAGCAACAGTCGAGCATTCTTCAGTTACGGCCGCTCAGACTCCAGTCAAGATAACCTCGCGGCCTACGACTTTTCAATCCACGGCATCGCTCGCCAGCACATCCTAGCCGGTATGTTCAGTACGGACGGCAGTGAGCTACAGAAATACTTGAGCTGCTGCCTTGATCTCCTGTCTCTAAGTACATCCGCCTGCTGCAGCAGAATCGAGATTGAAGTCTACCTCATTCCGCATGTCATGGCAGTCAGCCCAGTGACCCTGCTACAGCTCGTCAGGAGATTCGCCGGCGTTCACAGAAAATCGCACCTGTCAACTGCAGCCATAGAAAGCCTGCCCGAGGAAGTCCGCTTGCAATGGGTCCACTTGCTTTCGTATTTCCTCAAACTCCAGAAACATAACAGTTACAGATACAAATTCTTTGCAAAGGAGGTTTTCGATGGCATAGTGTTTCTGACAGGCACACTTCAAAGTAGTGAAACCACATTGCAGCTACAAAAATCCACCAGGCTTCAAAGGAAATATTATCAGAAAACATTAGACATCCAGTCCTATTGCAGCACTTGCCAGGCGGCAATCCCGGTAATTTTGTCTCTGCCAAGGAAGATCATCTTCCAATTGTTTTCTATTGGATTGGCCGCTATGTATTGCAACCACGTGGGTGATTATCATAGTAAAAGACGAGGATTCTGGCCTCATCCTTTGGCAAATCTCCTCAGCTCCAGTGGCAAGAGTGACAGGCCTATCTCGCATCATGTTGCTACTGAGACAAATCCTCTGATCCAATCACAAGATCACCATGAACAGGTCCTTGCATACTGCATCTTGGACATGCTTTGCTTGATTGGAGTATCCGATGGCTGCCCCCACGTCATGAACCGTCACGTGCAGGACAACAGCATGGGTGAGAGGCTGCTACAGTGTCTGAACGCACTGAGCATGGTGTGCTTAGATCTTTACACGCACAACTCAAGATCAACAGCAACAGCAGCAGCTGTAGCAGCAGCAGCAACAGCGGCAGCACCGCCATCATCTGCAGCAGGAGCACCGCCACCATCTGCAGCAGAGGTGACCGATGCACATCTCAGTGGTGGGAGCACTACTGGCAGACACAGCAATCCACAAGGAACGGCGTTACGTACCTGTCACCGGCACACGGATGATGTCCTTGGAAAGAAGAAAGGCGCACCACTGCCAGAGCCTAATACAACGGCGGAAAGAGCGCCCATAGCAAGCGTAGCCGACCTGAGCCACAGTGCTGATGTGTACCTCATTAAGCGTGTCTGTAGTCTGGAAGGAATGTACGGTGGCTCCTATTTCAGTGGCAAGCTGTACGCCCCGCTGTTAGCTATCCTTTTGCATAGGATGACCAGAGGACAAACATCTCAAGCCAGGATCACCTTGTGTCGGCTAATGTGCTATATTCCGGAACAATATCAAGTGAAGAGTTCACACCTGCACCGCATACTTGCCGTGGTGACAGGCGAGTTGTCGCCACGATCCCAATACCTCGTTGAGATTGAGATGTACGACTGACGGAACACGGCTCATGTCGGTCAGCTCCACTAACTTTCTTACCACTACCTGAGGTGCGTATGTGTACTACTCATAGATACTGGCCCATCGGAGAGTGCGCTGTTTCTCAGACATAACAGTTAGCATTGATCTGCACCCAACACTGCTGTAACACTGAGGTGTACCTGTTTCCATATTCCTTACTCAATATACTTCTGTAGTAATACATTGTCATGAAAACTGTCTTCTAAGAAAGCCTCGGCGATTGGGGATTGTTTAGCCAGAGGAGCTAACACTTTGACTAAGCTTATCCCTGCACTGGGCCGCATGCTCAGGTTGTAGACAGCTTACTAGCCGTGCATTCTCAGCCTGCTTCCGATTTATCGTGATCTAGGCTGTGAACCACCCAATTATTCAAAAAGGCACCACTCGGGCCAGCTAATAACACCAGCTTCTTTCATCTTCCTCAACCTTTCTATTTTTTAAACCCTATGGACTTACTTTATTACAATTTTGCTGGACGACCAGGCACTTCCCGTGCTGTTCTTATCTAGTTTCCCATTTTGTTGGTGTGAGACACTTTGGCGTCGGACACGCCACGGTAACTACGGTAATTTCGGACCGCACCGCTCTTCATTGTTCGCAGCAAGAGTATATAAGGCCCCAAGAGTGTGCAGCTCCTGATGCCCTTTCTATGGGGTTCGCCAATGGCGAAAACTCACATCACGTCGCGTAGTGTCCCAGTTGTACGTTTCCAGTCCATTTCCTGCTTGGATTCATCATGACAGGTCCTGAGGGAGTGACATGTACAGCGGATAATACCTGCCCAAATGCAGTGATGCTGTGCACTCGGAAAGTATTCACAGCCTTGCCACCCAGGGGGAATTCCCTCGGCAAGAGACACGGATGTAGCATGCGTGGGCAGGGACAGGAGGAGGTGGCTATGTAACGTTAGGAAGGTGTCCGCGCGAGTGTGCATCTAAACAGGCAGTGGATTCACCCATGCATGTCTTGAGTTGCTGTAGAAACAGGCAGTGGATTCACCTATGCATGTCTTGAGCTGCTGTAGAAACAGGCAGTGGATTCACCCATGCATGTCTTGAGTTGCTGCAGAAGTCTAGCACATCCACAGTCTGCGCTGTGTCACAGTCAATCTAGGTGGCATGTGGTAACCAGACGTTGGCCAAAAGATATCTCAGTCTTCGCCCACGGTCATTGCAGGAAAGAAGAGACTAGGGTGTGACTTCCACCCATGCAGGTGTACAACACAAGTGTGCCATGTGTGCATACATATTATGCATCCCAGTGTGCCTTGTATACATACATATTACATACCCAATGCTGTACATATTACATACCCAATGCTGTACATATTACATACCCAATGCTGTACATATTACATATTCATCCACTAGTAGACCTGCATGCTGTAGAGCTGAGTACAGCGTACATGCCAGCACTCCGAGCATTGCCTGGGCATGGCTGTGATGTCATCATGATGTCATGATATCTGTTTCCACCTCTGCGCAGGGGAAATTCCCCTGGATTCCCCATCCACAAAAACGCAAACAAAACGCGGGTGGCTACCGTCATCTGGTGTGCAGATGAAGGTCAAACTGACAGCTGGTGGATGGTGCCATTGTGAGTGGTGCCTAATGAATGGTAACTGCTGATCGCCAAACAAACCCACTGGTACAAAAGTCGAAACCAGCTGTATCCTCCAGAGCACTTCTAGCTTGTGATCCTTGTAGCAAGACTGAACTCGAACAGAGTCTAAGCTTAGGAAATTTCTTACTGAGGCTTCCCAATCTACAAATACATGCAGTACTAGTAAAGAGACAGGCATGGAAAAGGGCAAGCAAGATCGCACGCCCGCCTTTCTCAGGGAGATCCGAGCCGACTACCTGGAGAAGCTGCACCAGGCGTTCTGCACTCCAAAGGTGAAGGGAGGGTTGCGCAAGCGCAAGCGTGGCCACAGAAGGCAGCGGTGCGTCAATCCGCATGACGGAGGACAAGATGAGCGAGGAGGAGGCAGCAGGCAGGGTGACCAAAACACAACAGTAGTAAGTCGGTGAATATGATCAATGTGCATAATACAGTACAACATGTTCCAATTCCAGTGAACGTTAACAGGGAACGGCAAACCTTGGACAGTAGAGTAAGGGACATATGGCAACCGTGGTTCATGGCATACATGCATGTTGCTATCTGGTGATAGGTACCCCACGGAATATTGGTGGAATGAAGAGTCCAAGCGAATAGACCGTTTGGGAGGGGGAGAGAACGTGAAATTTCCTCAGAGCCTTGAAGAACACCAGGTCGCCCCACCAGTTTGCCAAAAAGGCTTTTCAAATCACTTCTAGCACAACCGTGTGCAGTGAGATGGGCAGTGTGCGTAGGAAAATGTTCTCTTTTCCACGATTTGGCCTCATACAGGAAGGTCGTGTGTAGCTCAGCAAACATGTTCCATAAAAAAAGGCACTCGACTAGCACAACTTGATAGCTGTGTGGAATTGCAATTGTCCTCTCTACTACACATAATGATCATCTTGTTTGCTGTGAGCAAGATGTGGCTCACCCTGCCTCTGGCGGTCTACGAACATCATCCCGGTCATTAAAACCTACATGTACATGTACATTTACGTTTGGCAAAGACTCATTGTATCCATTCCTTGCTGCCTTGTATCCACCACTATTCGTTCAGCTGCTCACTGGCCTCTCTGGAGTCGGAAAGTCCAGTATAGTCGACTGCTATGCCAGGACAGCACAGGAACGCGGCTACTACCAGCGTGGAGTGTGGAGGATCAACGCCTTGAGTGACACCACCGTCGAGCTGTCCATCCGCAATATTCTAGTGAGTGTTGCTTGTCACCATGCTCTACTGTGAGATGGGTATCATCAAGTGTACATACAGGCCCACGGTCACTTGCTCCCCATAGTCAATACTGCTTTGCAAACGTTAGCCATGCATGACGTCACCTACCCACCCACCTCAAAGCTGTACAGAACTAGAGTGCACATTGCCGTCTTATGTTGTGCCTGGTCCACTATTCCGTATCGCAGGTGTCCGCGAAGGCACCATTCAGCTGCCTGTCCCAGCGGTGTGATCCCGCCAGTCCTAGCTTCTGGCAGAGGATAATGATGGCCCTGCACCCGACATCGGATATGCTGTTCATCGTGGACAACCTCGGCAATCGCACCCTGCAGAGTATGGGTGATGAGGAGGCAGTTAGCAGTACGTCAGGTTAGTACCAATAGAAAGGTTAGAAACGTTTCATCTTCTGCTGCTATAGGTATGTGATGGTCATCACCATACACACGGAGACTCCCTGGATTTAGGCTAAGGCCTGTGGAGAATCCATAAATACAAATACAAAATACACCGGATGATAGGCAGCGGCGGATCCAGCCATCTCCACAGGGGTTTCTGAAACTGAATAGATGATACATGCACATGGACACGCATATGGTTGCCAGTAGTCGAAATGTTGGGGGTTCCGCAGAACCTCTGGAACCCCTGCTGGCTCTGCCCCTGATAGGCACTACTGTTGTAGATATAGAAATCCGTTGAGAAGTCAAGCGGCCATGGGGGCGCTGGCCTTGCAGCCGCCAGCACTGCTGCTACGTTTTGACAATGTGCACGTGAGCTACAGTGCTCCCACGCGCTAAGGCAGTAAGGGTGCTGGCCCCCAGTCATTCCACCGGTTTTCAAAAAGTCCATTATTTGATACGGTAGTAAATTTCCTTGCAAAGACTGCACCTCAGAAGTAAGATGTAAAAGATACAAGATGATAACATGCAGACTGGTGTTTGCACGGACTAGGCTATATAACAGCACCCGTTCCCGCCCCAACACAAATTGCATTTAAGCTATAACTTTGCCAACTGCGACGCGTGGTTTATATAATATTTTAAGCGGCCACTAGCGCAAAACAAATTCGCTCTCCGTGCTACTGTGTGTGTTGCAGATACGGCTGACCCGCTGTCAGTGATGTGGAAGTTCTCGTTGCCAAACTCCAAGTATCAACACCAGCTAATGATCATCAGCCAGAATGGCATCTTACAAGACTGCGTGTCACGGCACATTGCCCAGCGTCTCGAAGTTCATCCGCTGACATCGCTGCAATCGTCCTGGCTGCTGGCCAGACAGACAGAAATCCTGTACACGCATTGCCCAATGCCAGCAAGACGAGCGCAGCTCTGGAAACAGCTGCAGCAGGCGTGCAGAGCGTGTCAACGCGAAAACTCGCACTGCTGCCAGCACTGTCTGCTGCGGCAGCTGAGAGCCTGCCAGCAAGCTGTGCCCACCGTCCAGCCCAAACACTGCTGTACACACGGCCAGGAAACACATGATGCGAGCATGCTCAGCGCCTGCACTATGCGGCAGTTCGTAACGTTGAGTGATGCTGCAGACATGGCAAACGGGCTTCCCCTGGTGCTGGAATGGATTTCAAAACAAGCAGAGGGAGATGCTTCCCAGCTAGCAGCTGGCACACTTGATGCTGGACAAGACTCTGCAGCTGCTAGACCTGAGGAGCATGAGGTGGCCAACACCATGGATAGTGTATGGAGTAAGACGTACAGTCTGATCTCAACGGCCGCTAAACAGCTCCTATGCACGGCCGCACTTCTAAACCCGCACAGGATCTCCTGCGCAATATTCCTGGCTGCTCAGCATTCTCCATACGTTCCCGCTGAGCTACGCGACCTCCTGTTCCCGTTTGATGTGGCGGCTGCACCAAACACGAGCACAGAGATGATGAACCGCAGGGCAGTGCAATCACTGGTATCACTGCTGTGTGAGCTACGCCACTTCTCATTGGTTATGTTTGTGGCCAGCAACAGTCGTGCATTCTTCAGTTACGGCCGCTCAGACCCCTGTCAAGAGAACCTCGCGGCCTACGACTTTTCAATCCACGGCATCGCTCGCCAGCACATCCTAGCCGGTATGTTCAGTACGGACGGCGGTGAGCTACAGAAATATTTGAGCTGCTGCCTTGATCTCCTGTCTCTGAGTACATCCGCTTGCTGCAGCAGAATCGAGATTGAAGTCTACCTCATTCCGCATGTCATGGCAGTCAGCCCAACGGCCCTGCTACAGCTCGTCAGGAGATTCGCCGGTGTTCACAGGAAATTACACCTGTCAACTGCAGCCATAGAAAGCCTGCCCGAGGGAGTCCGCTTGCAATGGGTCGACTTGCTTTTGTTTTTTCTCGCACTCCAGAAAACTAACAGTTACAGATACAGATTCTTTGCAAAGGAGGTTTTCGATGGCATAGTGTTTCTGACAGGCACACTTCAAAGTAGTGAAAGTACATTGCAGCTACAAACATCCACCAGGCTTCAAAGGAAATATTATCAGAAAACACTAGACATCCAGTCCTGTTGCAGCACTTACCAGCCGGCAATACCAATAATATTGTCTCTGCCAAGGAAGATCATCTTCCAATTGTTTTCTATTGGATTGGCCGCTATGTATTGCAACCACGTGGGTGATTATAAAAGACGAGGATTCTGGACTCACCCTTTGACAAATCTCCTTAGCTCCAGTGGCAAGAGGGACAAGTCTGTCTTGCACCATGTTGCAACTCAGACAAATCCACTGATCCAATCCCAAGATCATCATGGGCAAGTTCTCATGCACTGCATCATGGACTTGCTTTGCTTGATTGTAGTCTCAGACGGCTGTACCGATGTCATGAACCGTCACGTGCAGGCAAACGGCATGGGTGAGAGGCTGCTACAGTGTCTGAACGCACTGAGCATGGTGTGCTTAGATCTTTACACGCACAACTCAAGATCAACAGCAACAGCCGCAGCTGTAGCAGCAGCAGCAACAGCAGCAGCAGCAGCACCGCCATCATCTGCAGCAGCAGCACCGCCACCATCTGCAGCAGAGGTGACCGGTGCACATCTCAGTGGTGGGAGCACTGCCGGCAGTCACAGCAATCCACAAGGAACGGCGTTACGCACCTGTCACCGGCACACGGATGATGTCCTTGGAAAGAAGAAAGGCGCACCACTGCCAGAGCCTAATACAACGGCGGAAAGAGCGCCCATAGCAAGCGTAGCTGACCTGAGCTACAGTGCTGATGTGTACCTCATTAAGAGTATCTGTAGTCTGGAAGGAATGTACGGTGGCTCCTATTTCAGTGGCAATCTGTACGCCCCGCTGATAGCTATCATTTTGTATAGGATGAGCAGAGGACAAACATCTCAAGCCAGGATCACATTGTTTCGGCTAATGTGCTATATTCCGGAACAATATCAAGTGAAGAGTTCACACCTGCACCGCATACTGGCTGTGATGACAGGCGAGTCGTCGCCACGATCCCAATACCTCGTCGAGATTGAGATGTACGACTGACGGAACACTGCTCATGTCGGTCAGCTCAACCAAATTACTTACCACTACCTGAGGTGCGTATGTGTACTACTCATAGATACTGGCCCATCGGAAAGTGCGCTGTTTCTCAGACACAGCATTGATCTGCACCCAACACTGCTGTAACATGTTTCTCAGACACAGCATTGATCTGCACCCAACACTGCTGTAACATGTTTCTCAGACACAGCATTGATCTGCACCCGACACTGCTGTAACATGTTTCTCAGACACAGCATTGATCTGCACTCAACACTGCTGTAACATGTTTCTCAGACACAACATTGATCTGCACCCAACACTGCTGTAACATGTTTCTCAGACACAGCATTGATCTGCACCCAACACTGCTGTAACATGTTTCTCAGACACAACATTGATCTGCACCCAACACTGCTGTAACATGTGTACCTGTTTCCATATTCCTTACTCAATATACTTCTGTAGTAATACATTGTCATGAAATCTGTCTTCTAAGAGTGCCTCGGCGATTGGGGATTGTTTAGCTAGAGGAGCTAACACTGTGACTCTCTAACTAAGCTTATCCCTGCACTGGGCAGCATTCTCAGGTTGTGGACAGCATAACTTAGCCATGCATTCTCAGCCGGCTTCCGACGCATCGTGATCTAGGTTCCGACCGCCCGATTATTCAAAAAGGCACCACTCGGGCCAGCTAATAGCACCAGTTTCTTTCACCCTTTCTTTTATAACCCCATGGACTTGCTTTATTACAATTTTGCTGGACTACCAGGCACTTCCCGTGCTGTTCTTATCTAGTTTCCCATTTTTTTGGCATCGGACACTTGGCATCGGACACGCTACGGTCACAACTCCGGTATTGACCGCACCACTCTTCATTGTTAACACCCATTTTTTAATCAAGTGCTCTATGACTATTGGCTCTGAATTTGAAATTTCTAAACTGGATTGCCCCGAAATGTCACCTACAATAATGGCTGGCCGTGCCACCCTAAACTGCCTTCCAGCACTCGTGCTGCAAAGCAAGGTCCAGTAACATCACCCAGCAGGTCACAATGCTCACTGCATACGCACAGTGATTGAGCGAACAACTCAGCGGCATAACAGAGCCAAATTACACATACTAGCCCCATAGGTCACGGGCCCTGGTTTAAATCTGGCTTTGGAAAATGTATTTTCATTGCTATCAGGTTCGGCCTCGTTTCTCTGTGCTGGGCTGATGAGTCCACAAAGGACGAAACAGTTCTGTCTGCAGATTGAGTAGCCCTATAGGTCATAGTGTACATATCAAGTTGAAAATAATAGTAATAGTAATAAAGTGTGCAGGTCCGCATCACCACCTGCTATATAAAATGTTTTGAGACTGAAACACAACCAGCCTAGGGGTAGGTGAAAATGTTTTTTCGTCGTCCCGGAAACAAATATTGTTCATGGGGGGGGGGGGGGGGTATGAGTCTCAAGTCGAACGACGCTGTTCATATACATGTAATTGGTACATGCACGTCATTTTTGTCCTCCAGCATAGCAAGCTGTGTTCATTTCGGAGGGTGGGGAGGGGGTCCCAGTACGAAATGAACGATGTTCATTTCAGATACAAATAGAAACGCTTGAGACGAAACCCCTTAGGTCGGGAAGGTTTGCTTGTGCCAGGCCAACACCATGCCTGATTATACCAGGGTGGTAAATTCAGTGCCTAGCAGCAAGGGTGGGTCAGTGTAAAAAGTCTCACAACCAGTGTCCAGTGTAGTGGAACCCACGTTCGACCAGCCAGCACTAACGCAACACTTCGAATTAGGGAATGAATTATTTACAAGAGAATTGGAAGAGACATAGAAGTTAGAAGTAAGTTATCAGAACCAGACTGAAGCACACTGAACTAAAGGATCGACTCAACTACTGAAGTACAGAAAGACGGGCATGCAATCTGAGAAAGGAGTGCAGCTACGCACGTGGACACATGCACAGCATGAGAGGTGTACACATAAAGCAGAGGCGCGCGCATATGGGTGAGCGTGTACACAGCATGCATAGCAACATACAGTGTGACACAAGAGTCATAAGGCACCTAATATAGCAGTTCATAACACCACTCCCCTAGGTGCCATTGATCATCCACTGTATCTAGCTGGCTGTCGTCGATTACCAGGGCCTCGGAGATCGTAGCGCTGAGTCGGCATGTCAGCCGCAAACTCGATGCTCACCACATTATCACAGGCAGCTGGCTCTGGGCGATCTTCGGCAGCATCATGGTTACCATCATCTAGTGTTCCATCTACCTGCTGGGCGTGTCCAGGCTTCACGATATCAACGTTCACGACCTTCTCTCTGCCGTCAGCATGCTGGATCACCAGGGTCGATGGCGAGACTATCTTCAGCACCGTCCAGCCACTCTCATATGGCGTCATGAGCTTCTGACTCCGCTCTGGGCGACGTAGCATCACCGGATCATCGACACGGTATGGTGACTCTGTTGGACCGCCTGACACAGAGTCATTCGAGGACAGTAGCGACTCAACAAGGTCTCGAATTCGAGCAGCGCGCCCGGCGAGTCGGTCTACCCATTCACTGGCGCTGTATGCTGTCGGGTCGTGATCAATTACTAGATCGCGCCCTTCCCAGCCCGTGATGGCCAGCCTTGGCGATATTCCGGTTGTAGCATGGCGACGTCCATTGTAGTAGAACAGAACCAACTCCAGCTCAGACGTCCAGTCACTGGTTTCCTCGAGCGCCTTACGCAGGAGACCGATGATTGTACGGTTGAGCCGTTCAACCCCTCCTTGTGATTGAGGATGTCGAACTGCACCCGTTTTCACCACCACACCAAACTGTTCCAGGAGGGCTGCTACGACCGCGTTCCGGAACTCAGTGCCGTTGTCCATGCGAATGACAGACGGCGGGCCCCACCGGCAGCAGATCTTGGTCAGTGCGGCTGCTACGCTCGCTGCATCGTGTCGACGTAGTGGCTGTACCTCCGCCCACTTGGTGAACATGTCGACGCATACCAGGCAGCAGTGGTGCGCTCCACTCTGGCCAAGCTCCAACGTGTCGATCTGTATGACCTCCCATGGTCGTCCTGGTACGTCTGGACGCGTTGGCTCAACAGTCGGTCCCCGTGCCGGGTTAGCTGCAGAGCAAGGCACACACGCTTGGACAACACTCTGGCATTTCTCAGCCATCAGCGGCATATAGCAGCGCTTGCGCAGTGAGTCATGCATTGTCGTCCAGGTGGCATGGCCAGAGGTCTTGTGAGACGCTTTCAGTACTTGGTCTTCAAGGTCAGGTGGTATGACTGGCACTTGCACGACGCCGTCGAGTGGCAGCTTTACTGAACGCATCAGCACACCGTCATGGTCCAACAGCTGATCACGGACCGGTCTGTACAGCTTCGACGACAGGGGGGTTCCCGACTTCAGCTCATCCAGCAGCTGTGATATCTCGGTATCGGCTTGCTGCGCATCCTTTATCTCACTGAGAGTAACGGGCCCGATAGCATGCTTGTGCGTTGCCACAGAAACAGAACAAACATCACTCGGCTCGGCTGTACCCTTGGGCCACCGCCTCGGGACACGGGTGAGCTCATCGGCCGGGTTCTGGTCAGTCGGCACCCACTCCACTCGGACCTTGAGGCCGACCGTTTGGACGAGGTCAGCAATCACTTCCAGTCGCCGCTCAACCAGTATCTTGTGCAGCCCACCAACTTTCACTCGGCGCACATTGTCGAGGACCTGCTTCAGCCAGCCGTACACTGTCTTTGAGTCGGTGACGAGTCGTACCGTCTGCAGGTGCCATTGCGCTGCAAGCGACAGTCCACGCACCGCAGCATCTAGCTCCGCCACATTGATGTGCTTCTTATCGGCTGTGTCCCGCAGCCATGTACCGTCTTCGATGACTTGGCCGTTCAGCTGGAGGACCACACCGACTGCCAGATCCGAGGCATCGCAGAACACAGCCCAATCTCCATCGGACTCGGCTGATGCATGCCACACACCACGGACGGGGTCTTGAGCGGACAGCTGCTCAGCAACTTCATCAGCACACTGAAGAACGCTAGGTGGAACCGGCGTGTCCCATCTGTCCACTGCACTTGATAGCCGCTTCAACATTGAGCAGGCTGGGCGAAGCCATGCGCACACTGGATAGTGGCTTGTGAGCCGACCTGTCCATTGGAATACACCACGCTTCGTCAGCGGTTGGCGGAAGCTGAGGTCGACTCCATCGCGGCGAGCCCACATGATGGTACCATCAGCAGTCGTCGACAGCTTCAGGCCAAGCACTCGCGCCTCGGGTAGATGCTCTGGTGGCTTTGTCGGCAAGCCATACCGTGCTAGCTCTGCAGCGACGGCCTTGCGCTTCTCCGCTGGCGTGAGGACGTCATCAACGTAGTTGTCCACATCAGGCCATCGTCGCGTCACCCACCGAACAATGATGTCCATGAATTTTGGTGCAATCGATAGACCAAAACCCATCCGTGACATGGCGTACAGCTTCCCACGCCACACCACGACTTGGTAGCGCAAGAGGGATGGGTCGACTCGTACCTGCAAGTACGCCTTACGTATGTCGACAAGTTCAAACTGGCTGTCTGCAACCTGTCGCCACTTGCGGATCTTCTCACCGCATGCTGGGGCATCAGTGCCTGGGTTCGACTTAATCACCGCATTCAAGCCACGGTAATCAAGACAAGGACGAACTGGGGTCGACTCCTTGTGGGCTTGGTCCTTGGCGAGCAGCGGAATGATGGCCGCCGGAGGACCGTACGTAGCCTCGTCGTACTCGATCAGGTAGCCATTCTCGACCCAGGCGTCCATCTCGTCACAGAACTGCGACTCTTGCTTGTCTGACAGGTTGTGCCTCGCGTACTGTCCGATCCCTGAGCCGATCGGAGATGTAGGAGCTTGCCCATCACGCCACTTCCAGTGCAACGTCCAATGCTGCTTGTCGTTGTCCCACCGGAGCTCTCCGTCTTCGGCCTTCAGGGTCACACCACGATTGTCCTCTGTGACGTCCACATGACGGAGTGTGCTCTCAACGTCAGCTGCAGCAGTAGCGGCTGCACCGGTATCTCTAGGTTGAGGACCAAAGCACACGCCATTGACCTCGCCGTCCTGGCCATAACTGAGTCGAACGCCACCAACACCAGCTATAACGTCAGCACCGAGGAGGAGGTCTGCTGCCACAGCCGTCAATGAGTCGACAACGCAGGCATTCACACGCACTCTTGGCAGACTAACCGGTTCACCATCCCCTTGGCGCTGCAGTTCCACATCAACTGCTCCTCTGATCTTCACCTTGCTGCTATCCACGGATACAACAGACACACGTGGCTGAGCAGTGAACGGAATCTTGTGAAGTTTGAGGAACTCGACCGTAACCATTGTGTAACTTGCACAAGTGTCCACTGCTGCTCTAGCACGTGCCCATTCGCTGCCTACCACGCCTCGCACGTCAACGTAGATTCTGGGCAGTGAAGCTCTAGTAGCCTCGGCTACAGTGCACAAACACGCACCCCTCGCCAGGGAGCCACTGTCTGCAGCCGTTGCTGCTCCAGACGATTTCCGCTCTTGCCAGGCTTTACGCTCCGGACAGTCACTCTTCATGTGACCTGGCTTGTCACAGAAGTAACAGGTTCGAGGGCCAGTACGCTCGCCGCGCGTTCCTTTACCAGCACCACTCTTGCGACCAGATTTCTTCGCTTTCGGGCACTGCCGCGCCATGTGGCCAACTCCGCCACAGTTGAAACATGCCTGCTCATCCGTGGTGGCAGCTGCCACAACAACATCGCCACGCACTCGTGTCAAGTGGTCCGAGGTCGCAGCCTTCAACGCCCGTACCACGTCCAGGCAACCCGTCACACTCAACTCTTTGCCCGCCATCGTAAGTCTTAGCTCTCGGGCAAACTCTACCGGCAGTCCCTTGATCAGCTGCTCTATGATCATCGGGTCCTTGTCGTCATCAGCCTTGTGCCCCGCCATAGTACTCAGTCGCTGCAAATCGGCAACGTAGGCGTCGGGGGACTCATCCACGCGCATCGTCCGTGAGGTGAATCTGGCGTACGCCTGCGCCTTCGTCAGAGTGAACGACAGTCCCATTTTCGCCAAGACTTTATCTTTGTCTTTCTGATCGCTTGCCGGCATCCGTGAAAATACAAGAAACGCGTCATCCGTCAGGAACAACGGAAAATTCTTCACTTTCTTGTCGTCCGTGTCCCAACCTTGTATGTTTGCAAGCACCAGAAACTTATCCCAAAAACGTCCGAAATCGTCCCCGTTCCCACGGAACGGCTGGAGGAAGTTGTCAAACTTGAGCGACATCTCGCTGGCGTGGCAGGGTTTGCACTCGTCAATACAACACACACGTCCCGGGTTTCGGCACCAGTTGTAGTGGAACCCACGTTCGACCAGCCAGCACTAACGCAACACTTCGAATTAGGGAATGAATTATTTACAAGAGAATTGGAAGAGACATAGAAGTTAGAAGTAAGTTATCAGAACCAGACTGAAGCACACTGAACTAAAGGATCGACTCAACTACTGAAGTACAGAAAGACGGGCATGCAATCTGAGAAAGGAGTGCAGCTACGCACGTGGACACATGCACAGCATGAGAGGTGTACACATAAAGCAGAGGCGCGCGCATATGGGTGAGCGTGTACACAGCATGCATAGCAACATACAGTGTGACACAAGAGTCATAAGGCACCTAATATAGCAGTTCATAACACCAGCAACGGGGAGAACACCGTTAGCTGCATCCATGTTACCCTCACTCCGAGCAGTGAATGAATTCAAAGCAGTCTCTAATCACGCACAAGGCGACGTTGCCCGTCCAGAGTGAACCGTGGATTGTATCCAACAATAATTGTGAGGTCTCTGGGTACCTCAGCAATGTTTGCAGTCACCTGCTTACCTTCGTCCCACTTGTCGGAGCCCTTCTTCAAACGACTGTACACGACACCAAGCTCACGCTGCGTTTCTGAAACGGTGCTGTACCTGATAACTCAACGCAAATGCGTCCGCGCACAAACAAACAAACAAGCACACACACACACACACACACAAACACACACACACACACCATACCGACACGCATGTGAAACTTACACGGTGCGTGAATCCCTGGTGAAGTGGGTGATTAGGACGAGTGTAGAGGGGCAAGGATTGCATTGAAGACCACTGCAATCATGTACTTCAGTACTTGTATCCTGGCTTATTGTCACTATGTGGATGTGGTAATAGTCATGTATATGCAGGGTGTGTGCATGTGTGTGTGTGGGGGGGGGGGGGGGGTGAGAATACAAGAAGGCCAGGAAACTAGAACCGGTGACCTTTCTCACTAGCTGGATTTACCTCCTAATTAACCTGCAGGATACTTCTAAGCTAAGTATGGGTGTGCCGGGCACCGGGAAATGCATGTGACCAGCAATCATCTCTTCACCAGTCAGCTATTCCATTCGCAAATTGTTTAGACTACTAGAAGTCTCAAATCAACTTGTAGTTGAGTTCATACCCAACACTATAGCTAGGTCATTGCAAACAGTTGAAACTCAACACGTAGAAAAGCTCAGTTTAGCGGGTAGTGTTCGGCAGTACCAGATTGCGAAGACATCTCCGTTTGGACATGGGCAGATGCCCGGGTCGTGGTTGTGATGAGAAAACGGCAGGTGATTCTGGTCCTCGTCG